AATGTTTATTATACCACAATTCATAATCGCAAAGATGTGGAATCAACTCAAGTGCCCATGATTAATAAAATGTGGTATATGTATACCATGCAATACTCACCCATAAAATAATAAATTAATACCTTTTGCAACAATCTGGATGGACCTGGAGACCATCTTCCTAAGTGAAATATTGCAAGAATGGAAAAACAAAGACCACATGTACTCACTATTAAATAGGAACTAACCTATCAGCACACCTGTGCACAGATGGAAGTAAAACTCAATGGAAATCATGTAGGTAGGAGGGGGGAAGAGGGGATGGGTTAAATCATACCTAATGGGTACAGTGTACACTGTCTGGGTGAGGGACACACTTATAACTTTGTCTCAAGCAGTACAAAAGCAATCCATGTCACCAAAACATTCATATCCCCATAATATTCTGAAATTTTAAAAACATGGAAGAAAAGAAATCTATAGGGTCCATTTTCTAAGAGCATTGAAAACAGAAGCTTTCATAATATTTTCTATTTAGAAAATAACATGGTCCGAAGTAATGTACCCCTCATTGGAAATAAGAACAGGTATGTGGAATATAAAATTCATCCTTAATTTTAGTTTTATTGATTAATTTATTTTCAAGAATATTTTGTTCTATTAAAAATTTGTATGTTTGTATCTTTAGAACAACAGAAACCAAAATACAGAGTTACATACCTGTGTCTGCTTGGGACCAATATCCATTCTTTCAAGAAGGTCATTTAAAAAAGCTGTAACACTTTCCCAGGGGTAAATACTGTTGGAACCATCCAGCACTATAACTATGTCCAGTTGAGTGCTGCATTCTGCAATAAAAGGAGTCAGTTGTGCAAATTTGGAAGTTATCTTTTTAGAGATGTATGAAGTGTTTTCATGGCTGAACAAAGCTCATTTTAAAACATGAACTTGTGTTCTACAAAGTGAACATACAGCTTTTATAATCAGAAAAAGTAGTTTTAGAAAAAATAAAGGTGACAACAATACTTATTGCATTTAATAACAATTGGTTTGGAGTTTGTATCAAGTAAAACCCATCTCTACTAAATTTTAATTAATATTGTATGAGAGTTATCTTTGGAAATTTTCTTAACATGAATTTTATATAACAGTTCTCATTCTGTGCATATCTCAATTGAAGTTACGTATGTCCTCAAAGAGACCCACTCTTTAAACAAAAGCAATGTGACATCTTTATCTATGAGCTTAAATCATGACTCTGTAAAGGTTATTTACACTAATATCAATTCCAAAAATAGCAGTGAGGTTTAGTTATATACCGGCAAAGCAAACATTTACCTAAATTGGTAATGCTGGTAGCTGGGAAAATACTTCAACCTTTTTGGTATGCTCCTGTGTATACATACGTCTCATTCATTGCTTAGGCTTTTCAAACATGTAAGAACATTGCATAAAATCTGTACCTTGTACAGGGGCAATGGAGTTCACAACTTGAAATGTGGGGCTGACATCAGAACAGATTCCAGTTGTATAATGCAAATGTCCACATCTATAGGCATATAAGGGCCCACATGCCTTTTACAAAATAAAAAAATAAATAAAAACCGTAAGACTGAATTGTATAACAGATTTATAAAGACTTAAAATGATAGGACTCCTGTTGTCATTAAATATCATTACTCTTTCCATTCTTACCAGAAACCCTCCGTTTGGGTTGGTGACTAAAGTTGATCCAAATGTCATGTTTTCCTTTATTTCTGTGACATTGGGAATTGACGTATTAACTAAAAATAGAACAAAATTTTATGAGGGTGAAAAAATGTTTCACAAAGTAAAATTAAGTGTCTTCTCATTAAAATGTTCTATTTGCTCACTCATATCATAGCACATTCTTCTTTTGGTTCAACTAAATAGTCTTCCAAGTATTATTAAGGAATATAATGAACAAGCTAAGGCTGAAGATCTGGCTTATGTCCCAGAAACTTTGTCTGGATCACTGTTTTAGTCAGTTAGTTTTGTTGACCTGTGAAAGAATGCAGAGCTAGCAGGGCAATGAGAACGTGAGATTGCTTTTCACACATTTTTTTTTTGTGAATTAGAACAAATAAAGTATTTAATATCTTAATATTGAAGATATAATGGAACCTCCTACACTCTGTTATAAATGACTAAAGATGAAACATGATTTCTGGCAAGAAAAGGGAAAATGGGTAGAAGACCAGAAAAGAAAATTCAAACGCAAGTTTTTTGACCAGGACTTCCAAAATCATCGAGATATCATGGGGGTTACAAAGAAAACTGGAACAAGATTAGAGCAGTGGCCAAGAAGTGTGGATAAAGGAAGCACAATGAAGAGACTACTTTTGACATTCCAAATAGGAATATTGAGTCTTGAAGCATGTCAACCTGACAATGTTGGCAAAAAGTTCCACATATTCACATTGAAAGAAAAATTAGACAGGAAAAGCAAAAGCTTCTAAGCCGATTTAGTAGAGTGCTGA